ATTTCTCAGAGACATAGGGCACCCCCAGTGAATAGCTGCCAGTCAAGCCCTCTTTAGCTTACCTGCCCTGCCTCATGTCCAATGTCAACTCTTTTGTCCCCAAGGAACTGATGTTCCTGTCCCCTCCATCTTAATAGTTCCCTTAGTATATACTGTGCTTGGCAGCTTCTACATTTTTGTCCAATGCTATATGTCTGCCTGGAAGTCCCTTTCCCACCTAGAGTCACCTAGATTCACCTGTAGAAGTCTTTTCCCTCCTTCAGTGTTCTCCACGACCACCACTTCCAAGAAGCCTTTCCTAACCCCCAGGTGTAAATTAACCTGTCTTTATGATGTTCTGCTTTCCCAGCATGTGGTCTTCAGTTGTCTGTTGCTGGACTCTTGACTAGAGGGTAGACTAAGACCTCTTCTGCACATGCCTGGCTCCTTCTAGCCTACACCATCCAACATAGCAGTCACTGGCCACGTCTAGCATTTATACTGAAATGAATGAAAACAAAATAGACATTTTAGTTCCTCTGTTACATTAGCCATATTTCAAGTACTACATGCTAAGTACTACATGTGGCTAGTGGTTACTGTACTGGATGGGACAGGTTTGGAACACAGAACATTCCACTGGCCCAGAAAGTTCTGCTGGTCTGTGCTACCTAGATAGAGAGCTCCTTGTTGACTATCCTGGCATTAAGCATGGGCCTGGCCTATAGTATATGCTCAATAAATGTTTGTTGAATTAAATTGGACACATGTTTTAGAGGCAGTAAGAGAACCAGAGGACCATTAAAAAAGAAGTCTTTGGGGCCCTCGAACAAGTTCTGCATTCTAGAGTGAGCTTGCAGCTGGAGGGGAGCAAAAGTCAGGGGAGACAGGAAAGGAGGCCAGGGGTGGAGCACATATTGCTTGCCAGGCCTAGGGTGTAGCCACAAAACTTGGTAAGGCTGGTGGGGTATGTGTGTGAGGGTGCAGATGATTGCAATTCTAGACATATTTTCTCAGCTAGTTGAGATACATTTTTGGCTCAAAGCTTCACACAGAATCAGGGCCAAGAGTGTGTACTTGAGTGGGTGCATCAGAGATTGTCACAATGTTTGAGTGATGTCTCTTTTGTTCCCTGTCCCTCTAAGTTCCTCTGCCTGCCCAGTCAGATAGGTAACTTGCTTAGGGGCCAGGCCACCCTGAACAGAGTTGCTGAGAGGGGATGTGGGGACAACAGAGAAAGTGAGGGGAAGTCTGTGGGGAGAGGGAAGAGCTGGTCTCCTGGCCTTTTCCCAGCCCAAATCTGGAGAATCTGGGGCTGTGTGTCAGTTTTAGCTTCAAACACAGGCGGTTTCCTTGCAGTGAGAGTGAGCTGGTTTCTCTGGGAAACCCGGTCTACAGGTTCTCTGCTGTGAGTGGGAAGCTCTGAGCTCTTTTGGGCTCAAAGCAAGAAGTAGATCATCTTCCTTTCAAATTCTATTGTCTTCCCTGTAAACAGTCCTGGGAATTAATATCACAAGATTATGCTGTCACCTGGCAATCAATCTGTTCCTGGACAAAGAATTAGGACTTAATTCCTTTTTCTCTAAGAATATTCGTGTGATAGACAGCACAAACAGCAATTACAGCCTCTGTGTGGAGCACTCACTAACTTGTATTTGACAACCAAGTATCTCACCCATATAATTGTACTTAATCATCATGGTAACCATGAAAAGTGGGCAATGCCCATTTTGTAGAGCTGGAAACTGAGGTCCAAGAGATTAGGCACCCTGTGTTGGCTTTTCCTCACTGCCTGTCAAAACACTGTAACTCACTGGCATGGGATAAACATGAGCAATAGTATTTGCTGTCCCCATGACATTTCGCAGATTTGTGGTCCCTCTGGCCAGGATGGAAACCAGGTAGCCAATTTTGGAACTGATGTGGCATCAGTTAAACAAGTCGGGTTAAACATTTAACCTATCCTGCCACCCTCTGGGATCATTAGTCCTAAGCACAGATGCCTGTAAAGAAAGATGACAACTATCAGGCAGGCCACAAAAAGCACATTGCTTCCTACCAGTATTTCTCAGTGTGGTCTCCACCACATGCAGAACATCGCTTGCTTGCTTCCTCTCTCAGGCTCTGTTATGATTTAGATATAAAATGTCCCCCTAAAGTCTTATTATGTTCAAAGGTGGAGCTTTTGGAAGGTGTTTGGATCATGGTGGTGCTATTAATCCAATGATGAGTTCATAGTTGAATGTGTTGTTGGGAGCTGGGCCCTGGTTGGGGGAGGTGAGTTACTGGGGGCATGATTTGGAAGGGTGTATTCTTGTCTCTGGTTCTTCCCTTCCCTTTCTGCTTCCTGGCTGCCTTGGGTAAGTAGCTTTCCTCCACCAGGTCCTTCTCCCATGTCATTTATGACTTGGAAGCAGCTGACCATGGATTGAACCTTCTGAAATATTGAGTCAAATAAACCTTTCCTAAGTGCAGGTGTCAGGTATTTTGTTCCTGTCAGGGATGGGCAAGTGACTAATATAGGGTCTTTGTAGTCAAGCTCAATCATGCCCCTCTTCACTTCCTTCATCTCAGAGTCAACTTCTTCCTTATTTCTCATAGGTTCCCCCATCCTCTGTAGCAGGTTGTATGTCTCAAAAAAACTGGTACAGCAATATTTTTAGTCCCACATGGTCTAGCACACTTTGACACTCCTCACTGAGAAGGAGTCTATTCCCCTGCCTTGACTTTGGAACAGAACAGAAAGAATAGATTATAGCAGAAAGAAAACTAGTATTACCAAGGATAGGTCATGAAAAGTGACATGGCTTCTGCCTGGCTTTCTCTCTTGGAGAACTCAGCCATCATGTTTTATGGAAACCCAAGGAGACACATGGAAAGGCCATACCTATGTGTTCCAGCCAACAGCCCCAGCCATGGTCTCCAGCAACAGCCAGCATCTACAAGCCTTCAACCAGTCCCTCCCTCAGACTGCCCACATGATGCTGAATGGAGCAGAGACAAGGTGTTCTCAGAGCACTACTCAAGCAGCATAAGTGTTGTTGTTTTAATCCATTATGTTTTGGGGTAGTTTTTTGAAGCCCTAATAGAGGGAACATCCTCAATGGCTTGTATGCCTAATAACTAATGCATCCTTTTCTCTGATTTTTTTCCCCATCAGACTATTGTCTCTGGTTACTAAGTACATATCCTGTAAGATAAATTCTGTAAGATGACAGGGTCTGTGACCCTGTGTTTAGTTTTGTTAAATACTGTTCTGACGCAGTTTTGAGGCTCTGGATAGAAGCTGTTCAAGAAAGAGGCTTCTTTCTTGAGCTATCAACAAAATTCACATCCTTGTTCAGGATCCCACACTTGAGGTCACTATATACTATCTGGGCCACTACACATCTACCCTAAGCACCGTAGCACCTGGTACCTTATAACTAGGGACAATGCTTCTGTTTCCAAAATTATTCCAATTAGCTAATTCTGGCATTGTTCAACTAGCCTGTTTTTTCTGCCTAGCTCATGCATTTCCACAAAAACCACAACAAAAGCATCTGCCCACAGTGTCCCTTTCTCTCTCTGTCTTATGACCATCTCTGCCTGGTACTCACACTCTGAGTGTGTCTGTGTTGCCTAGGGGCCTTTCTCTCTCTGGATCTACTTTTGGCCTTGCCATTCACCACCCAAGGTAATATAGTTATAACATCTTCACACCATTCATATTGGTTAGCAGCTGTGTGCAACAAACCACCTTAACAATCATCTAAAATGACAAACTTTCATTGTTAGAGTTCACAGGTCATAAGGCTGAGCTTGACTGATATTGACTAATCTTGCTCATGTATCTGCAGGTCACCTGGGCATTCTGCCCCGTACTGAGCTTGCCTAAGTAATCTTATCTGAAATAGATCTGCTCTATGTGTCTTTCAACCTTTTCCTGGTACCAGTGAATTAGCCTGGGTATGGTTTTTTTTTTCATGGAAAAACACAAGGAGCAAGCTGAAACAAATGTTTAAAAACTTAAAAACTTAAAAAAACCTGAAACTCATTAAGCTTAGTTCTAGAATAGACACCCTATCACTTACACTTCATTGCTCTGGCCAAAGCAAATCAGATGGATGTCAGAGGTAGGGAATTATGTCCCACCCACAGTAAGAGATCAGTGAAAGGTACCGGAGAAAGACAAAAGGGCTGGATACAGAAGAAGTGAAGAATTGGGGTTAATAATGCAAATCTGTGATATTTTCTAATATCTGCTGGATCTAGAGTTTGTTCTGGTCATGGCTTTGCTTGGTCCTCAAATAACCACCTCTTATTTTTAAATCAATTTTAAATGGTTGTCTTACATATAATATTTTAGAATTAGCTGTTTTGACTAGTGTTTTAGCTTTAAGAACATCAATTATGCACATGGGGCAAAATATTAAAACGCAAGAGCATACTATGCAAATCAAATCCTCTTTTGTCTGATTATTGACTTCCTAGTTTTCCTTCCAAAACTATTATATTTTCTTTTTTCCACTTAATAACTTAGCTTGTATGCATCAGCCCATAATAATCTGTGTAATTTTTAATGACAACATATGTATACAAATCTCATATTGGTGAATAGATTGTTTCCAATTTTTTTCCATCCCCCCAAATGTTGTAGTCAATATCTTTGTATAGTAATCTCTGCATGCACATGAAAGCAAATGTGTAGGACAAATTTCTTTGGCAAGTGTATATGGATTTGAGATTTTGAAGATTTTGCCAAATTGCCATCTATGGATGGTTAAGTTATGCTTTTGTTTTACAATGAATGAGAAATGCATTTTTCTATTATCCTTACCAAACTGTTCTTGGATTTTTGGCCTTTGCTAGTGGAATAGTTATATCTAGCTATCCAAGTTTTAATATTCATTTTCCATATAATTAGTATATTTATGAGAACCTCTTTAAATATTTAAAATCTATTTGTATTTGTTTTCAGTGAACTGTTTATATTTTTGAGTATTTATCTTTTGGGTTGCTTGTCTTTTTATTTATTGTAGGTACCTGTCATGGGCTGAATGCTTGTGCTCCCTTGTCATTGGTCAGGTCTGAAGAAGTCCCACCAATGGAGAGAATGGAGACTTCAACTCACCTCCACCCACAGAGTAGGTTGTAGGTTCACCGACTTACTGATGGAAAAGCATTTCAGGACACATCAGTGAGGAGCACAGACAGATTTCTTAGGCAGAGTTAAAGAAGTACACACTCAGAGAAAATAGAGTATGGGTGCTCAGGGGAGAGGTGCATTGTGGTTTGAGGCTGGGAGCTGCAGTCTTAAATGTACAATTCTTTTGTCACAAATAAACCAACTTTAATAGATATTATTTTGTATTTATACAGCGCCTTCTTCAAGAACCCTAAATGCTTTACAGACATTATTTCTAATTAATCCCCACAACAACCCTGTGAGGTAGGTATTACTCCCATTTTACAAGACAAGGAGACTGAGGCACAGAGAGCTTACCTCATTCTCATTTTCATAATATACTACTCTTGATACTTTATTTAAAGATGCTTTTCATTAAAGATTCTCTCATGAGGTGTTTGGCTGGGAGCTGGGAGGCTAAGGTGCTCTGGTCCTGGCTCTTCAGTGAACTTAACTGTGTGACCTTGGGCAAGTCACTTAAATGTACAATTTTAAAATTAGGGTTTTCCATGTCCCTTTTCTATATTTATTTCTTCTATTTTACACGCCCCCCCCCCCAATTCATGCCTTGAATTCCTAACCCTCATTGTGATTGTATTAGGAAATGGGGACTTTGGCTGGTGAGATTAGTGATTTTATAAAAGGGACCCTAGAGAACTCTCTTGCCCTCTGGCCACCACATGAGAACAAAACAAGAAATTGTTTCTGTAACCTTAAAGAGAGTTCTCACTAGAACCTGACCATGTGTGCACCCTCATTATAGACTTCCAACCTCCAGAACTATGAGAAATGCATTTCTGTTGTCAATAAACCACCCAGTCTATGGTATTTTTTTTTATAGCAAACCAAACAGACCAAGATTGAACTCTATATGTGAAAGAAAATTACAAGGTATGATTGCAGATAGAGTGTATATTTAAATTTTAAACATTTATTACAATAAGAGACACATTGCCATTCACCCTTCCTCAAAATACTTCTCTGTACTTCAAACACACATATCTTATCATTTTTGCCACTTTCCAAAGCATTTCTGGAAGTCCTTTTTGTGAATATTTTTAGTTGTACTATCCTGGTTGCCTCAAAGTCCTGAATTAATTCAAAATGTTTACTTTTCCTGGGCATTTTGACTGGGGAAGAACCAGAAGTAGCACAGTGCTAGATCCAGTGAATAAGGCATGTGAGGACACCCTTAATGTTTTTAGGAGCATGCCTTGCAATTAGATTGCACTCTTCATCAGCACTCACTGTAGTTTTGATCACACCTTGCAAACACACTCACAGAAGAGGCTTTCCAGAACTGCTTCAGAAAGTGGCAAGAATGATGAGATTGAAGCAAGGGGAAGTATTTTAAGGAGGATTAATGGCACTGTGTCTTTTATTGCAATATTTTAAAATTTAAACTTGCAATGTACATCTTTATCACCCCATAGCTTATCATGTCTTGCAAATATTTTTATTGCTTATAATTTAACCTTTAGTTTTAAATTTTTGCCTTGCAAAATTTATTTTTTTCTCAATTCTTTGTTCTCTCTTCCATATTCCATATTAGTCTTAGGTCCAAGGAATAGCACATTTACTCCCATTCAGTTAAGTTTTTTCTTCACTCTGTTGGTTGTTTCCTTTGCTGTGCAGAAGATTTTTAATTTAATGTAATACCATTTGTAAATTATTGCTATTGTTTCTTGTGCAATTGGAGTTTTGTTCGAAAGTCCTTGCCCACATCTGTATCTTCAAGAGTTTTACTTAATTTACCTTCCAGGATATTAAGTATTTCTGTTTCAACCTTTAGATCTTTGATCTATTTTGATTTCAGTTTAGTACATGGTAAGATATATGGATCCAGACTCAATCTTCTGTATGTGTAGAGCAAGTTTCTTCAGTACTATTTGTTAAAGACACTATTTTCCCTCCAGTGTACATTTTTTTGGCTCTTTTGTCAAAGATCAAATAGCTGAATGTACCTGGGATTCTTTCTGCATCCTTTTTTCTGTTCCATTGATCCTCATGTCTGTTTTTGTGCCAGTACTATGCTGTTTTTATCACTGTAGCTTTGTAATATAACTTGAAATCTGGCATTGTGATGCCTCCTGCTTTTCTCTTGTTGTTTAGGATTGCTTTTGCTAGTCTGTGTCTCTTCTGGGTCTGGGTTCATATGAACTTTAGGGTTTTTTTTTCTAGATCTGTGAGAAATATTTTTGATATTTTGATTGGTATTGCATTGAATCTATATACTAGTTTTGGAAGAATGGCCTTTTTTTTTTTGGTACCAGATATTGAACTCAGGACCTTGTGCTTGCGAGGCAGGTGCCTGAACCACTGAGCTAAATCCCCGGCCCGAAAAATGGCCATTTTGACTATATTGGTTCTGCCTGTCCAAGAACATGGAATATCTTTCCATTTTCTGATGTCCTCTTTTTTCCAGAGTTCTGTAGTTTCAATTGTAGAGGTTTTTCAATTCTTTGGTTGGGTTAATTCCTAAGTATTTCATTTTTTTTCACACTATTGTGAGTAAAATTGTTTTCATTACTGTTAACTTTTTGTGTTGATTTTGTATCCTCCTACATTGCTACTATTAATCTAGGAATCTTTTGGTGGATTTTTTTATGTCTTCTATGTAGAAGATCATATTGTTTACAAATAATAAATATTTGACTTTTTATTTTTCTCCATGTATCCCTTTAATTACTTTTTAAAAATTTTATTTTATTGGTACATTTTAGATATACAATATAATGACATTCATCATT